AGAGCGCTCGCCTTGAGCTGAAGAGCTGAGGGACAGCGCCCAGGCCCAGAGTTCAAGCCCCACGACCGACAAAAAAATAAAATAAAATAAAAGAGAGAGAACAATGCCTGCATTAAATTTCACTGTCTGCATAATTGTCATGGAGCTCTGAATACATTTTCTCACAGAAGAATGTCCTCAAATATGTCTTACCAGCCTATTTAAACCTAATGACAGGGATGACACACATAGCCTTTGGTTAGGAAGCTCTAGGGTATGGAAAGGAGGAAAATGCCCCTTTCCTCATGGAAGTTTTCCTGAAGACTCAGCAAGTGGAAACAATTTAAAAGCAGCACTCAAGTGGAAGTGACCTTTGACCTTCCTCTGAACACTGTACAGGATTTGCTCTTTGGGATGTGGAGTTTTGGTTTGTTGTTTTTGTTTTGTTTTTCTCTATGCTGGTTCTGGGGCTTGAAATCAGGGCCTGGGTATTGTCTCTGAGTTTCTCTGCTCAAGGCTAGCAATGTACCCAATTGAACCACAGCTCTGCTTCCAGCTTTTTGGTGTTTACTGGAGATAGGAGTCCCAGGGACTTTCCTGCCACAGCTGGCTTCAACCATAATCCTCAGATCTCAGCCAGCTGCATAGCTAGGATTACAGCGCTGGTGCACTTCTCTTTGAAGTGTTAAGGGTGTGACATATAAATATAACTTAGCCCCCTTCACATTCAGAGCCCATTTATGTCCATCTCAAAACCTTACTTTATAATTGTACTCAGCTGTGTTCAGAGGCGATCTCTGTGTGTATGTGCTATTAAGTCAGTGTCTATATTCTGCAATAGTTCTGACCCCTTCATGTGTCTGAAAAGCAAATGGCAATACTAATTGACTTTTCTGTTCAGGTGGTGAAAGCTTTTATTGTCTTATCTGCACCCTTCAAATCATCTAACCCTGAGCAGTTAACTCTTGAGCTTCAGGATCATGTGAAAAAATCAACTGCACCTTACAAATATCCAAGAAAGGCAAGTATAAGTTTGCCTTACCAAATCAAAGTCTAACCCAGAAGATAGACTTTTGTTGGATTTTAACTTTACAATAGGTCATTGTGTAATAGAAATTAACTTTTCAGCTTGTGTAGCCAAGAATTTCGACTTAAAATGTTTTGCTGCACAACTACTAAAAGACAATAATAAAATAAAATGTTTTGCATTAGGGCACTACAAATGCTTGATAAACTAGAAATTTTATGAACTCTAAACTACTAACACTAAGAGTTTTGTTTTATTAGTTGTAGAGCTTGACCTCAGGGCTTGGGCACTGTCCCTGAGCTCTTTTGCTCTTCTAGTAATCTACCCACTTTGAGCCACAGCTCTACTTCCAGTGTTCTGATGGTTAATTGGCAATTAGAGTCTCATGGACTTTCCTACCCAGGCTGGCTTTGAACCTCGAATCTCGTATCTCAGCCTCCTAAGTAGTTAAGATTATAGGCATGAGCCACCAGCACCCAGCCCAACACTAAGAATCTTTATAAGACTAATTAGGAATTTAGGAATGGTGATAAAAAATATACAATAAATTTATTTTTAGGACTGGCACTGGATCCATCTATCCAGTAATCTTACCCTAATGCCCCTATACATTTAAAGGGCCCTCATTTAAATATCAGGTGGCCTAGATTAAGACTCTAAAGGATAGGATCCAAAGACCTATGAATTTCTTCCTGAAATTTCCTTTGAAAGAAGACTTTAGGCCAGGCGAGGGTGGCTCACACCTGTAATCCTAGCTACTCAGGAGGCTGGGATCTAAGGATTGTGCCTCAAAGCCAGCCAGGGCAGGAAAGCCCGTGAGACTCTTATCTCCAGGTAACCACCAGAAAACCAGAAGTGGCAGTGCAACTCAAGTGGTAGAGCACTAGCCTTGAGCTGAAGAGCTGAGGGACAGTGCCCAGGCCCAGAGTTCAAGCCC